TTATACATGAAACTCAAGGAAGCAGTTTCTCTTTGCATAGTTGCAGAGAAATACATTACACTGAGAGCACAATGTTCGTGTTCTATTCTTACATCCTTCTCTGCGACATCTGCGGAAAGAGTTCTTACCATCAATGACTATTGGGAGATGAGATGCACCTTTCTTTCTTTCAGCCCTGTTTGGCAGAGGAGTCAAGCCCTGTTTAGCTGCCTTTAGAGGAGGCTCAGTCTCTGAATCAATACAGTCTACTGAAGAGAGACTTGCATCAGAAATACTCTGACTGTCAGTGGCATGGTCAAAGAAATCACCTGACATTAACTGGTCTGCCAAGATTAATTTGAAGTCTAGATATTGTTTGGGTTTTGACTCCATATCCTTTCTGTATTCCAGCCAACAGTTGGCAGTTACAACATCAAGTACATGCAATACCACCCTAACAGTCCACTTCTTAGTGCGATTGGGGCTTCTGTAATAGCTGACTATTTGGTCATGAACATCCACACCCCCCATGGCACTGTTGTACTCCCTTACCACACGGGGCCTCTTTACACCAACATGGGTATTGGTAGCCTTAGACCACCGCTGGCATATATCTTCGTCATCAATAGAGAACTCATTGGAAGCCATTAGTACCAACTTTTTGTCATACCAAGCAGTCACAGCCACCTTGTTATCATTTCGGACTTGGCAATCGGATGCCCCTCTGCCCTCTTTGCGCAAGGTTGCCTCAGTCTTTAATATTTGCTTAGCCTCTTTAGGTACCATGTTTTTCTTAATTGTGCCTGTTCCTCGAAGGCCTCTGTCATACAGATCACACAATAAGTTTGAGCTTGTAAAAAATCTATCAAAAAAGATACTTGTGCCAGCATCCACACTGCGCACAAACCTTAATACTGCTGCTTCACCAGTTGTGAGGGTTCTGTCAGGTTTAACATTCAGCTTTTCAAATAATAGCAATGCTTTAGTTTGAAAAATTTCAAAATCGAGTACCATTCCACTTGGAGAAGCTAGGACAAACATTTTAACCCGTCTGGGAAAGGTTTGCCAGGGACATGTTGCCTGATACTGATTCTACCTCGAAAAGGAATCATGCTTTCATCAATACTGACCTTCGATGGCCTTGGCAACTCGCTGCAACGAGTTCGTACTGCTTCCAACAAAGGTCTTACTTTCCATAACCTGTCACTTTTTTTGTCGTCTTCCAATACAGTGTTATCATTAATAACCTTTAACGAATGTCTGAGACGGAAAAATCTGTCTCTTGCCATTTTATCAGCTATCCAAGGGATCCTAGTTTTTGACTGCCAATACATTCTAATTCTTGGCATCTTTATGATTGACATAGCAAATGTCATTCCTATGAAAGTGGCAATTTCTTTGCTGTTTGTGTTAATACATGCACCTGTAGTTTCAATTGATTTCATATTTGTATACATTGCAATATCTCCCAAAAAATCCTCACTGACATAAGATAGGAAATACTCAATTGGTTTCAGTAAGTTACAAGCTCCTAAATTTTCTGTTGCATTCTGAGGAGCATGGTCTACGAAAGATTTATTTCGTAGGTAAAACAATCTTCTTGGCTCCCAGCAGTTGAAGATACAGATATCTCCTGGAGATCCTCTTCAGAATCCGAGTCCGAAGAAGTGACAGCTTCTTCAACTCCAATTAGTCTCCCAGATGACGTCACTGCCTCGGGTAGCCAGTCATCATCACTCTCACTGAAGTCACTTTCATCAAGGAGATCCAGAAAAGACCTAGTCTGTGATTTGCCATCTCCTGTATGGGAGTAGTTGCTCCCTGTAACAATATAATAGTGCAGAGATGCTATGAGAAAACGTGATGGCTCTGTTCTGCCTAAGCTGATTAGATGAAGTTGTAACATTGCCATGTGTTTTTGTCTTGGAAATTATTGGAAAATTCTAGCATTAATCAGAATGGCAGAAATATTATCATACTGATACATTATAAAATGCAATGCCCCACCTCTTCTTAAACGTGCAGCATCAGTTTGTCGAGATATAGATGGGCCTGGTTCACTACTGTAGCTTCTTGATGATGGTGCACCACCTACAAAAGAATTGTATTTAAGATAATTTGCATCACTAGTTAGTTCAAGTTCGTCAAATAAGGTTACCATCACATAAAATTAATAGTATCACAAATTTATTGCAGGTATTTAAAACAATGGAACATGCATGATATCCCACCAGGTGAGGAGGTTGACTCACCAGCCTCTTGAGATGTACTTGTGGGGTCATCATGCTTCCTGACAACTGATGGTTTGTCACCTGCAAAAGTAATAATTTTTTATTAAATGTTATAGTTACCCCTTTCACACATTCCTGTAAGACCCAAGTGTCACAAGGATGATCGGTGTAATCGTAGGTCACATTCAACATCTATTTTTTCCCATTAATAAATAACAAACTTTGACAAAACTGTCGGAAAAATGCCCCAAGACTTTCATTATCATATCAGCATTGGAATTTCCGTCAATAACCAACAAATATCAAAGTATTTAACAAAAATCCAAAAAGTAGACGAAATTTCAGTCGGAAGTCCCGAGAGCACTTATATGATACACTTTTATTTTGCTTGTTTTTGCTAATTTTACACCATTTAAGCACGTCAAGCACTTACAATGAAACTAAGGTTTAAAGTTCAATAAAATAAGCATGTTAAACTTCTACACAAACTGTACGAAGAAAAAAAGGAATATTTACCAGAGCTTGTGGATCTCAGTTTCCGCGGCATATTTTGTTGTCCTCTTGCCAGCTGTGTTGGCTTCTGAGAGTTTCTAAACCAATCAGAAAGCAAGACGCAATCATTGACGTCACTATGACGAGCGGCAAAGTCCTCTTCCTC